TTGGAATTTAAATCGAAATTTCTACAATGAATAACGTACTAGACATTCATCGTATAATTTCATGCAAAAAGAGTGCAAGATACTTGGTGCACCCAACACAGGTTAATTGTATTATATTATACATATATACGCATATATATGAAAGTTATATATTCTCTATCAAATTAATTTGCGAGCTGGAAATTCAAGAATTAACGTTCTTGATCACTCGCAGATCTGCCGTTGTCACCTACGTACAGGGTGTCTTGGAAATACACGTATACGCATGAAAATGGAAGTTTAGTTGTATGCAGGAAACATACGCTTAAGCGCAGAGGAAAGTACGTGTATATTTTTATCCTTAGGACACCCTGTACGTTTTAACGTTGCCCTCCAGAAGTAAAGGTGAGTCTTCCTTCTGACGTATTAATTGAGACTTTTCTCTGTTATTGAGACTTTTATCATTGATCGTTGCAAGCCATTTGAATAGAGAGCTCGAAAGGCTAACCGTTGCAATTATAAATGAAAATAATAGAAAATTGTGGAAATCAATTAATGAGATTTTCCAACAATTTCTCGCACGGATGCTTTGCGTAATGTTTAAACGAAATTTCATGACTCATCTTGGCGATCGTAGTGGCATCGACTAGCAGAGCGAATCATTTCATTAATAACTCTTGCGTTATTTTTATTACTGTTACGAGATATAGGGCTAGTTTAAGGGACAAATTTTTTCACAAAATATATTATCGACTTCGTTATCAATATCGTTGGCACGAAGAAATATATAGTTCATAATAAATATTTAATATAATTATTTAAAGATGGAGGAATTATTAAAAGCTATCGATCTATTAAAGATTATTTATATTTATGTATTGTTACTCTAAAGAGAATTTATATAAAAATAAGAGAAAATGAGCGCTGTAAATAATTTAAGAAAATTGCATTTTCCCTTAAGCATGACCCTATTTGAAGCTGCTATATGTTTCCTCGAAAATTTATGAATCGCGCACTGAGCGAATGTATTTTCATCTCTTTACGAGAATGTCCTTATAAGATCGAGCAGTGCTGTTATTTCCCGTTCCCGTTAATCAAGATCAAGTGTTTGATTCACACTCATTTAAACAGTGTTTCGCGACCTTTTGGAATTCGTCCCAATTTTCAATCAATATTTCAAGCGTTATAGCCTGTAAAACGAGCGACTTCGAGGCACCTAAATCACTTCGAGGATGTTCGAGGTTCGCCTAAGCAACGCATAAGCAAGCAAAAGGTGTAATATCAGCTAGCTTAATATCAAACACACGTTGAAATACCGCAAACACATAATAATCAAATTACATATATGTTAAATAGATATGCGTGAAAGAACCTGATTACCTTAGACGTACGATAATTAAACGATAATTGTTAAGTAAGTGTAACTAGGACATAATACATAATTGCGAGGGCTGTCGCTACTTATAAGTGACACGATCTTCCGTTCATTAAGGATCTGCGATTTTGTCGTATTATATATCGGTCCGTATTACACCGCTTTCTTACGAAACGATTTATAGGGTGTGATTGTAGGCAACGCGTGGGAAATCGTATGCTTGGCATGCAACATTTTTGTAACGTGGCATCTTTTGGGCGTCGTTTGAGAAGTTGCGTCATTTTCTCCATTCGTACCAATTACCTTCAAGAAGCTTTTTCGCAATATTGATCAAGGGCAGTTCGTGATTATATATATACATTAATTTCAGCCAGTAACAACGGAGACACTTAGCTCTGCACGTTCTTTATTATTGTCTTTTCATCGATCCTTATTTCTTTTTTAGCCGCGTGGTGAAACTTCTTTGCGCCTAAATGCCACGCAAAAGATAAAAATTAGATAAAATCGCGGGAGCAGGCAATAATCGTGTACAACGCGGCCGAGACATAACGATGTTCAAACTAGTTGTAATAAGAAAATGTCTTTCATTAACTTTGTTAAACGTTATGGGAAGTACAAGTCATGTTACTGGACAAGTATGTGCGTGTATTTCTATATTTCAGAGTCTAGGTAACAGAGAGTGAGAAAACGTCTAATGAGGATCCTGCACAATCGATATATCGCATCTTCAGTGGGAGAAAATTCCAACTGCTAACTGCTCTTCTACAGAAATCAAATAGCAACTAAAAAAAAGAAAAAATATTTATATATCAATTAATTATAAATACTTTATAATCTAATTATATAAATACATTAATCACATAATTATAAATTGTATTAAACGATACAATTTAAAAAAAAAAAACTAAAGCGAAATTGTTTGTTGCAACATTTTCAGCTTCTATTTTCTATAAATGAGTCGTTCATTACACTTGTAGCAAAAATAATAATTCTTACAGTTGCCATTTTTTTTCTATTGAAGATATAATCCTGAAAAACACGGTGCAAGGAGACGCACGAAATAAACTAATAATGACGAAGCAAGTTGTGATCAAAGATTATAATCGGGACGTATTAAGAAGATAGGATAAAAAAGACGTAAAACAATAAATGGATCTACACGGGGAATTATATCGCGCTGTGAACGAAATATTTATATTTTTACTTGAAAGAAAGAAAAAGAAGGCTATGAGACGTTTGTAATATCGAATATCCGAAACGAGGAATGTCCATGACGTTATTTTTCTAGAGTGAATATCTAAATAGTTATTATATATTATTGCGTTATGGCGAAACATATTCTCAAGCGACAAGCAGGCCTAAACGCGACTTTTTACGATGATAGACTTAATGCGAGCATATTTGGTGAAGAGGAGGAATACGTTCGTCGTTTATTTGTTTGTATGTAACTATACTTGATATTGTGCGTTGCTAAAGTTACTCCGCAAATTATACGACATGTTTCCTATAGATTGTGAGCGACTTTCCCAAACGGTTTGTATCCGTGTTGTTGCGAGTTTTGGTGTAATTATTCAAAACGTTTGTGCGTTTAACACTTGAGCAGTTACGTTTTCAGTATAAGCTTTTATGCAGTATATGCAGCTTTTTGGTATTATCAATCACTTAATTGGTTTTTCGCTCTAATCGAGTTTGTTCGGAAACTTCTTCAATTATACATATATGCTTCGCTTTCCAACGTCACATGTGTTTGAGAATCAATTTATTACGTATTAATGATAAATAAAAAACTATTCGCGCATGTGCCGCATATAATGATAGTTATGATTTTGCATACGCAGTGAGTGCATCAACACATATATGATATACATATATGTAACGAGATAAAAAAAGGAATATATACCTATTATTGTTTTCACACATAATTGGCTTCTTCGTAACAATTTAATGATTAACGAGGAAATTTGTAAATATATTTGCGATAGTAAATTAATAACGAGTAATAAAATGTCATCTTGACAGTAAATGCACTCAATAATTTTCGAGATAACTTTGTGTGTGTGACTTAATTATAATCAAAATTTTTAATAAAAATTCAATATTATATAGTGCAAGCTAAAATAGTTAAGCTATAAAGACTGGCTATTGTAGCTGTCATTCATAAAATATTATACAAATAATCAAAGGATTATAGAAAATGAAAAACCAAATAACAATATTTTAATATAATTAAAGTCGAAATTTAAAGAAACAAAATCATGTGGAATAGAAAAAAATAGAATAATGGAAACAAATTTGTTTTATCATTTTTTAAAAATATTATTCAATTCCTTTCTTAATCTGTTATTAACTGCGACTTTTCAAGTGAATATTCTACTCGCATTTCGTCCTAGAATGGAGAACAGTCAGAGAGGACAGGAATTCAGAAAAGAGTATTGTATATCTGTTTATGCATGTATGTTTGTATGTTATGTGATGTTAAACGTACGCGACCATGTTACTGTGACGTTATGTACTATAATATTATAACACAATATAAAAAGTGGTGAACACTGTGTACTGGTGAAATGCAATACATGTATAATCGAGTTGCCCCTAAATACAGCCATTTTATAATGGACATTTATTTGTAATTTTATTTTTCAACTTTAACCTTGCATTAAGTTTATAAGAAAAACACACACACGACATATATACATATTTCATATGTATGTCATAAACATTATCGCATTTTAATAAAAAACCAATTTAAAAAATGTAAGAAGAATCTCAATCAATTTTGGTGTAACAAAATTAGGCAATGTGATAATAAAATCGTTTATAACGACCTTGAACATTTCACTTAATTCTGATAACAATTTGCGAAATTTACTTTTACAAGAACGATCGTAAGAAATATAGAACAAAAGTAAGTAATACTGTACTAAATATATACAACACATTGACTTAGAAATTGTTTATTAACAGGCAAAACAATATCATCGATCATACAAATAATCAATAATGCATCCTATGACTATCTTACGAGGGCACACTGAGATTTCACTTGCTCAATCATGCGATAGACAAAGTATTCTCTCTCTCCCTCCCCTCTCTCTTTCTCTCTCTCTCTCTCTCTCTCTCTCTTTCTCTCTTATACACTTCATTCAAAAACAATTGCTCTATATGCAATACGCTTATTGAAGATATACGTATGCACGCACGCATTAGATAGCATTGTATATTCTCGAACACATTTACACTTCGGATTCTCGATGAATATGATCGCATATAAATGTTACTAAATATTGTGCTAAAAGTTCTAACGTAACAGATGAGAGAGAGGAGAGATAATATAAATCAAATCTATTTACATAGAAAGATCACCTCGGATTTATATCGGAATTGTAGAAATCAACAATAATGATATTAAGTCGCACGATTGTTTTACATATGTAAAAAAAAATCTGATACGTAATTATTGACACTGGTAGATGCAAAGTTTCACAGTCAATATAAAAACGTTCTCAGTAACTCACTTTAAAAACCACAGACATATTTTATCAAAAAGAAAAGAACCCTCTGTTCTTTGTTATTTGTTTGCCGACAATAAATCGTACAAACGTATGAGATTTTTTTATAAAAAATAAATTGCTATATCGTATCTTGTCTATGGATGTGAAAATCATGTATAATTAACAAATAATCCCTATATCGAGATTTTTAATTAAATAACCAGTCAGTAAATCAAGATATCAATCTTATTCTACAGAAAATATAAAGAGGGAATAAATTGTGGAGGAAAACGGATTCGCGCGTCAAGATCTGAGAAGATTCGGCGTTACAATCGCACTACGAAAACAATATATATCTATATTGAATGTTGGAAAATTCCCGATTGCATTTCACTTCTTCTTTAGTATACTACATATAAATTAATTACGAAAATTCCACTGCGCTCAATCTCATTACAGTTCATCCTTAACTATTGTATACCTATTTTTGCTTGGCGCCAGTTTTTTAAATGCAGACTCTGGCGGCGTTGTAGGCGTTTTAACTTGATTTCTTACTGACATTTCATTATTATTAGTAATCTCAGGACCGTAATGAAACTCGCGATGAAGTTTTCCAGAATACAAGTCCTCCAGAAAAGCTTTAAGTTTTCCTTCTACAAAAATGTCATTGAAATCATTGAATAGATACATGTGTCTAAAACTATCTATTGCAATCAATGGTAAGTCTGTTGCGGTTTTTCCTAAATGGTGCAGTGGATGCGCAAATTTCAGGCCGTCGGCGGTTAAGAAATTTATATTCTCTGAAAAATAAATCAAATTAGTATGAGAAAATAATATAAAGAATATAAACAAAAATAAAGAATAACATACGTTTTTCACTCATTAATGACTTAGTTACGATATATTTGTACTGCTTGACGCTTTGTAAATCATCAGGAGCATGAAACAATATAAGGAACGGCAAGCCTTCCTCCGTTAATTCTTCAGCATTTTCGAATGTTATTTCTCTTACAAATGGTACGCATTTTTCCTGCGCCCATACATTTAATTCATCGTAAACTGATAAACTTCCCTTGTAAGTTTCATCCATTTCAACAGATAAAGCCTTATCTGATCGGAAAACAATGATAGGTTCTCCAGGAGGATGCATTGCTTTACTTGCGTTCCTACACATATTTCAATATATTCGAACTACAGATCCTTATTTAGTAAATACATATATGTATACTGTTTCAATCTCACATTAAATATGTATAAATATCATTATAAAAAAAAAGAAAGTATATAATATTATCATATTATTCAATCTGTACCATAATATAATATAAATATAATATAACATAATATAAATCAGACACATTTCAGTGAACTAATAAAAATTCTTAAAATTGAAATAAAATATAAAAAAGAAATATTAAAATTACCATTATTTATCCATCTTGTGTTATATTAATATAAAATTTAAATAAATCGTTAGGGACATGTAAAATGTATTAAATTTAACACAACAAATTTAATACTTTTTCAACTGTGTACTTTTATGTACTGTAAAAAAATTGTTTATAATAAAAAATAGTGTCTAATGTAATCTTAACACAATATAAAAGATGTAATAAGATTGTATAGTATGTAAAATATAAAGAAATAATATAAAAAAAGATACTAAAAAATATAATCTCGTACATACTACAGTACAAAATGACCATGAGCTTATGTATACCACTTACAGCAAAAAATGTAAATGCTGTCCAATTTCGCAGTTTTGATTGGAACATGTGCTTGTTAAATAAAACATTGTAATTATAATCATTAAAATGCAGATTATATGTGGTATTGTCATGTTAGCAAAAAAATTTCTTTTGCATCTTTCAAAGAAATATATATTTGCATCATAAAGAAAAATTTTTGTTACAATAATATTTTAGCTTTTAGCATATCAAAAATAAAAAGAATCTTACCCAAAACCAACATAAAATTGGCAATCATCCTTCAAATTAGTGGCAACTTTTCTGAACAATTCATATTCTGGTACATCTTTTCTTTCAAAGTATCCTATGATCATACGGTTTTTATCGTCAAGTTGTTCAAGCTCCTTCAAATTGGAGAATTCTTTAATGGGATCTTCCAACTGTTTTTTGACAAATTCTTGGAATGCTTCTACCGATCGTTGTCCCCTGTATTCTCTTTTAGACGGCTGACCGTTTCTTATTATTTTTAACGTTGGATATTTAGTTATATGAAACCTAGATGCCATAGAGCCTAAGAAAAAGCAATTCTTGTAATAATCTAAATGTATACATATAAAATCCAATCTATTTAATATACAAATTAATATTCAAAATCTGTTTTTACCACTATATAGATTAATTTTAATCTTAATTCAACTTACTCTTTATCCCTTTTTAATTCTTAAAACTAGAAAAAGATGAAGAGTTAGCTAAACCAAGATAACAAATGAAGTATATTGTTAGTAATAGATGTTATTCGTGTAATTACAAAATTTATATACATGTGCATGTGTCTTGTGAAATTCACGACTTAAAATTATAGCAAGAAAGTTTTCAAAAAATTAAAAAAAGAAGTTATTTGTAAGTTTTTATATAGTTTTAAAGATAATAAGAATTCAAACATAGCCAATTACAAGCAATGTAATTTAAATAGTCATTTGTTCGTAATTAAATTTAAACCCTTATATCTAAAAAATTCTGTTTAAAATAAAAATTTACAAATAACATTTTTTATTATTTTTCGAAACTTTCTTGTTATATTTTGATTCCTTTGTTACAGGACACCTGTATACATTTATATAATATGATTATTCATTTTTTTATGCACTTTATAGTCATATTTTAAATATATTTACTTTCACGGTCACAATCCACTGTGGCCATTACTACTTTTCCAGGCTGTGGAAATTCTTTTTTAACCTTATCTGCAGCTTCATCAAATATTGGAGCTAACAAGTTGCTAAAACGACACCATTGTGCATAAAAGTTGATAAACACTAGTTCATTGTTAGCTGCAAAAAAGTTTATAATTAAAAAGTAGATACTGCATATATTTATTAGCATTGATATTTTCTATACACAGGGAATGGAAGAGTTAACTGTTAAAATAACCTTCACAATTACTTTTTATAACAATGTGATAACAATGTTGCAATTTTTATGATTAACTAAACACTTAGAGGCTAAAATAATTTTAGCCTCTTAAGCGTTTAGTTAGTTATCATTACAGTCATAAAAAATTGCAACATTGTTACTACATTGTTATAAAAAATAACTATAAAAGTAACTCTTCCATTCCCTGGAATCATGTATATAAATTATCATATTTACCTAATGTTTCGTCAATATTGTTACTTGTGAGTGAAAGGGCACCTTCTTTTATTTCCTCTGCTATATTGTTTGGCAAACGTATCTAGAAGTATATAATATTAATAATGCATTATATATTCTATTTTATTAAAATCTAATTTATACAAAGCAAGTTAATCGTTAGTATAATAATTATGCATTATGTCTATTACAGAAGAGAATATTTAAACATTGCTAGATACACATATAATCTACTTTTACCAAAATGTGACCTTTATTTTCATTAAATAATCATAAATATTCTACCCTGATTTTTAGACTATTATAAATACAGACTACAATATGATAAATATTACAGAATTAATCATATAAATAAAAATGCTAGTCATATCTTCAAAGTTTTAGTAATACAAAAGTATGTAAGGATATATTTAAAATTCACACATTTTGTAACAGATCATTCAAGACGATTAAAGAAAAATTGATTTATATGTAGATTGCATTGGCTTTTCTCAGATACAAGGTTATTGTAATATGACTATAGAGGTTATGCTGTATAAACACAACAAGGTATAAGAAGCAGATAGTCGATTCATGTAAAGATGATTAGATAAATAATAATTGACAGTTAAAAAAACGAATAGAAACATACGTTGTGGGCGACTTCCGCTAACAGGGAACTATTAAATTGACCTCGCGAAACGTCAAATGACGTGGCAAGGCAACTGCGTGATTACTTACCAGCAGACACGCGAATGTAAGTACTTTGAAGTGAAGTATATCACAGCGGGCCAGCATTTTGCGATTTCGCGACGACTAACTCGACGGTGCGATGAGTTTTTGAAACACCATCAATGAACAACCGCCTGTGTGTCAATTGCTAGCGGCACATCATCAAATCGAGTGTGGAGTAATGAGCATCCTCGAGACATCGATTGTCGTTGCATCTGCCGATGATGTTTTTCAAAATTCCAGTAGGTGGAACCGGTCTGTGCCTATATATTAATAGAGCAGCTTTGTTCCAATTTCTACGTTATCGACAATTGAGCTATTTTATGCCGATTCCAACTATTAACTATCGATAATGCACTACGAATAATGACGATATATTCTGTAAGATGACGCTGTGAAAACATACGACCGGTAATCCAGTCTCAATATTCCCATTCCGTATGTCCATTATATTATTCTGCACCAATCGTATTTCTACTTGTTCGCTGACAGTTACTGATATCAATCAGTGTTCACTCGTTCGTGACGTTTACGTCATACGTAGATGATCAACAAGCACAAAAGGAGAAATAAGAAAAAAACCGGCTACGGCGTAGAGATCTGTAAGTTTGTATTTTCCTCGTTTGTGAAATTTTCCTCTTTAATTAAGCGATGATCTATTTCTCTCTAATGTTAAACAATTCTCAATGATCAAGTGACGTAAGTAAATTTTGAATGAACTGCGTTCAATGATGTATTCTTTACAGGAATTATGATAATGATTCGCTAAAAAGTAAGGTTTGAGTGTTAAGAATGGAACACATGAGACAAGTACTATTCACGATATTCATTTGGTCAGTGTTGCATTGCACAACGTCAACGTATTTCGGTGATGTATTCGCGCAGCAAGCAGATGAGCCTTCTAAAATTGGTTGGCTTTTTTCTGACAACTTCGTTAAAATTAAGAGGATTCAAAGATCTCCATATGATTATAAGAGAGAATCCGAGGATGATGGTTCACCAAAAATCATCAACGGTCAATGCCGTGATAAGTTGAATCAACTTTGTGGTGATATAGATAGAAATAACGACGAGCTTGTACTGCTTGAGTGCATTCAGACTTTCAAGGTATGTGTCTGCACTACAGTAAAAGAATAGGATAAATATTAGAGATCTAATTGTCATTGCAAATTTTTTTCAGCCCACTGAGATATCTGGAATTAATCAGAAATGTCAGGAAGCAATTTGGTTTTACATACAGAATATTACAGATAATCAAAACATAGAAAGGTTAACTAGAAGAGTGTGCGGTTCACAATTGGATACCTTACAATGCTCCAGTTCTGACAAAATCCATGGGGCTTATTTGTCTTGTCTGATCGATAAACGAGAAATGGTCAGAAATCCTGACTGCATCACTTATATTCAGAGATTAGAGTGGATTGCTTTCAGTGATTTCAGAATTCTGACTCCTTTTAAAACAGACTGTGCAAACGATATTAGGAAATTTAAGTGCGACAGTTTACAACCATACAGAGATATATCACAAGGTCAGATATTAGCTTGCTTACAAGAACACGTCGAACAACTGCAGCATGAATGTAGAAGACATATTCTCCATGTATCTGAAATTCAAGCTGAAAATATCAGGTTAGATCGTCAGCTGTATATGGCTTGTACTCATGATCGCACTAAATTTTGTCCTAATATTCGACCAGGCAGTGGTCAAGTCTACAAATGTTTAATGAAATATAAAACCGACAGGTAGATATTTTAATGTTTATCTACATGCATAAAAAAAGCTAAATATTACAATATTAGTGTAAAAGATTTCTTAATCTAGGAATTTTCTAGAGATATTTATATGTATATATATAAGAGATTATTTTTATATATTGACAGATCAATGACTGCACAGTGTCAGGAGCAATTAACGAGGAGAGAAAAGCTTATTGCCTCTGACTACAAAATTAGCAAAGGTCTAGTTAAAGCATGTAAGGAGGATATTAGAAATAATCACTGCAGGCGGTCTGTGTCCGAGGACAAAGAGATTAAGCTGGCCCAAATTTTGCTTTGTCTGGAGTCGGCAATGAAAAACGGCAGCAAAATCGATGGAAATTGTCAAGCGGAAATGTTTGATCACAGAAAATTATTAATGGAAGATTACAGATTGTCACCAGAAATTGTACACAAATGTGCCAACGACATTACGACTTTTTGTAACAGCCTTGAGGTCGGTGGTGCTACCATACACTGTTTAATGGAGCACACGAGAACAAGGAAAAGAAAATCAAGAGTTGCGCCGGAATGTCAAAGAGCGGTAAATAACTGATAAAAGAATTAAGAGTATTTTAGGATTTATTTTTTTCAGAATTAATAACATATTTATTTACAAAATTCGTTGAACGATATTCTAATACTTATAAAAATATTATATTGCTAAAAGAAATTTCATAATCTCTTTATGAAATGTTGTACATCATGTAATTATGTAATTTTACAGTTAGAAGAGTTAATTATTGAAGCTGATGCTGGCGAAGATTGGAGAATTGATCCAGTTTTAAGAGAACAGTGTCAACCTGTAGTCAATTTAGCTTGTAGAGACGTAAGAGACTTATTTTATGTAGAATATTGTATATTTTAATCTATTTTACATAATTATATTATATTAGTGACCTCATATAAAAAAATCCTAGACTCTATATGAAGTACATACATTAAACATGTTTTTATTCAGATATTTTCAGCTCGTGTATTTGTCAAATACATTTTATTACTTCTTATTCTTATTAAATATTTTAATATTTAATTTAGGTACACGGTGGAGATGCTAGAGTGATATCTTGCTTAATGGAACAACTGGGAACAGAAAGAATGACCGAGGCCTGTGAAACTGCCTTGGTACAAATACAGTATTTTATTGCCAGAGACTTCAAACTTGATCCACAATTGTACAGAGCGTGTAAGTTCGATGCCGTTCGTTTATGTCACGCAAGAAACGCATGGGCCGGCAATGGTAAACAAATGGATCCTGAAACTGGACCACTGGTACTGCCATGTTTATATCGGCATGTGTACCAGAAAAATATGACAGTAAGATTATTAAGATATTATTAAATACATAATTAGAGTTTTTAATTAAAAGTTAAAACTTAATTATTTAGTTTACATATTGTAAGAATTAACGTTATTAACACTTTATTATAATATTTTCACAAAAATCTCATTCTTAACCGTTTTTTTTTTTTTTATATTCCAATTTAGTTGAGAGTGGATTGCTTAGAAGAAATTAGACGAGTCATGAGACAGCGTGCTATGAATGTTGACTTGCAACCTGAGATAGAAGAAGTGTGTTTCAATGAACTAGCAACACTTTGTTACGATAAAACTGCAAAGGGAGAAGAGATTCTATGCTTGCAGGATAATTTAGAGAAGTACTGAGTTATCCTGAATAATAGAGATTATACAAACAAAAATTTGAGAAAGCTTGGAGTTACATTTAATTTATAGTTATCTCTCACATATATAATGTTTTTGCATATTTTTTGAAACCTTCAAAAGTAATTTCAAGCTATCTTTGATATTATGCATTCTTTTTTTAAAGTTAGATACAAAAATATTAAATTTTTTGTTTAAATTTACGTTAATTATAGTTTGAAAGAAAAATGCAAGTTTGCAGTTGGCAATTTTACTGAGGAACAAGCTGAACGTGTTGAATTGAATCCCATAATATCTTCTGCATGCCAACATATTATGGAACGTCATTGCGAGGTATGTCTTCAATTTTATTATTTTATCTTATTATTTTATTATTGTTGTTTTATTTTATTATTTTATTTTATTTTACTTTATTTTATTGTCAATAATTACATTTTATAGGAAGTATTAAAATATGGAAAAGATGAAGGAGATATGATGGAGTGTCTTATCGAGCACAAAAACGAGCTGGATGCACGCACCGATTACAAATGTAAAGCAGCTGTGGAACATTTTCAACTGATATCTTTAAAGAATTATCATTTTACATACAAATTTAAGGAGGCGTGCAGACCTTATGTTAAAAGATGGTGTCCTAAGTAATTAAATTTTTTAATATATAAAATTTAAATATTTTGAACGAAAAATAAATTGTGTAATATATTATGCTATAGATCGAAGACAAAAGCCAATGTGATAGAATGCTTAAGCTCCATTGTACAGGAAGATACAATGAAAGATTCTCAGCATCGTGTTATGAAGGATTGCAGGCAACAGCTGCGAGCACAACTTTATCAGCAACGAGAAAATATTAATTTCGATCCGTTCTTGCAAGCTGCTTGCGCATCAGACGTCAAACAATTTTGTTTTAATGTAGAACCAGGCAATTCACAGGTAATGACAATGTTTCAATATACACTGGAAATTTATGGTATATGTAACATAAATTATAGATTTCCAGTATTGGCAGTGAATATCGGAACAACTAATATTTAAGACAATGCTCTTTTTTTGTTTATTTACGTACATCTCATATACGTGACTAGAGAAATGTATAACTAGAGAGAATATTTTTATTGAATTTTACATTTTTTAAAGTTAGAATATAAACATACTTAATCATTATTATGTTTCAATTGTTTAATGTTTGTTAATAACAAATAATATCTGATCTTTGTTTTCTGAATTCTGCTGCTGGTTCTTTGATTAAATAGTTGCTTTAAGCAAGTTCTAATGTTATAATAAACTTTACTGAAACTTAGGTATTAGAATGCTTGGCATCACACAAGTCCAAACTATCGGACATGTGTCATAAACAGCTGTTCAAGATAAGGAAACAGGAGTTTCAAGATAGTTCCAGTGATGTACCTTTATTAAGCATCTGCCGAGCTATGATAAAACAATACTGCCATGATGTGAGCAAATCACAAACTTTGGATTGCCTTAAAAGATATAAAGATGAACTTACTTTCGACGATAAATGCAAAAACATTGTAGTTCGAAGAATGATTGAACAGAATACGGATTATAGGTTTAATACTGCATTGCAAAATGCATGTGGCTATGACATCGATAGACATTGCAAAGAGGTAGAAATAAAATCTATATAGCTAATTTAATCCTTCTCAAAACCATTCTGAATTTTATTACTTTAGAATAGTCAGATCTTGATTATTTGACTCGCTGAGCTCGCTGAGAGACCGTAGTGTTTTTTAAAACATTTTTGGAC